CAGGTCCTGTTTTAACCCTTTGAGGTGCCCCTGATTTGGCCAAAAATTCACATTTCTACCCACTCCGACAAGAATCACTGTAACTCCACAACCGTTCAATTTGATATACACATGAGCACATTTTTCGCATCCGAAAAGAACAAGGAGTAGGATGAAAAGGTGTCTAGCGCTTTGTTTCCAAGTAATATTGACGAAAATATCAAATGGCCCAGTATCTGCGGAAATGGACCTTAGGGTGATTTTTCACAAAATGACTTTTTTCTGCTGTTGTCATCTATAGGTATCTAGTGATCACATGGCAAAGTATTAGACCGAACAAAGCAATATTGATGACCCAGAAGCTTCTCAAACAAGCATAGGTACATATCAGGAAATACAACAATTTATCACAGTGTTTTCCACATCAGAATACTATGTGTTACAGTGAAATAAATAAAAATAGACAGTGTAATAAATCATCCATCCACTTTTTGTTGTAAAACAACTCTTGGGCAACCTCTGGCATAGAGCATGGTTGGCCTTGATCCTCATCACTGCATACCAATGAAAACTGTTTGAACGCCATCCCAAGTCTGCTGAAAATCCACAGAAGTGCAGAACAGGACTCAGGAGGGAGGGTGGCTACAACTACACCTGGAGTCCCAGTCTGTGCATCCCACAGGGAATACAACACAGGCACAACATTCTAACACCCCACACTTCATCTCATAGTCATACACGATTTAGAGGTAGTCCATCACCGCTGCATGCACCTCTGTGAAATTTGAGCTCTGTGGGAACTGGCTGCATGCGCGTCATTGCGCCATGATTCAAGCACTGAGCGCAGAGAGTTCGTAGCTCATCAATCAATGTTCAGCTCCTGCCCCGTCCAAGGGGTTTGGTGTTCACCACGGAGTCCAGTGTGGGAGCCTGGGAAAATTCAGATCATGTCACTAGCGACAGCGCTCTTTCGTCCTGACTCGAGTTGATCCAGGGCGTTTCACAACTTTCAGTTTGTCTACCTCTGTTGACGTCGCCTCACTAGTTTCTCCTCGTTGAGTATTTCTCCTGACCGGAGCTGTACTAAATTCACAAGGGCCCTACAAGGATTTTCAGATGTCAGAAAGTACTTTTGCCAGCAGAAAGCTCCTTTGGCGGAGCGCCTATATCAAGTTGAAATTCTCGTCGCTAAATAGGAATTGGGCGTCGACAAAAACATCTTCTGAAAACTGTCGTCGTTCTCTATCAGGCTCGACGATTCCTGCCTAGGAAATCCAATGACTACTGGCGGAGCCGGACGGCAGCTAGCTGGCCATCGTGAGCGAACTCTCCTGCTACTGGGACGATCAAAAGCATTCATTGTTGCAATGAACAAATTTTTTGTTTGAATGTGCAGAGCGCGAAGCAAGAGTTTTTGCCGTTGCAGAAAATGACTTATTCTGAAAAAAATGATTTTCACCCGAAGGTCGATTCTCGCTGATACTGGGCCAAATTACTATTGGCAACGATAGTACGAACGGTCCAATTCAGCCATCACCATGGCTTCTAAGATATAGTGGTGCAAGACATCGTTTCTTTTCCCAAGTATACAGTCAGATGGGGGCACGCGGCTTCAGTTTGTATGCAGAGGATGCACTCCGCTGAGCTTCGCCGCGCGTCGAAACGCTGACTACGATCGAGGATAACTCAATATTTTCAGCACGGACCGCGGGTCTTTTACCCCTTCAGCTTGTTCCCCTATGTATCTACTATGTGTGTGCCAAATTTCAGCCCATTCAGACGATGTACACAAGAGCTGGGAGCATACAACCCACCCCCAGAAAATATCAGTCGTAAATGACTGATGCACCGCAAAGGGTTAAAGCAGAACGGTTCCAGGTTGTCAAATAGAGTGCTCGACACCCAAGGGCAGAGCTACTATTTACAACAAGAAGAGGAGAGAGAAAGTGTCGTGATTCTGAGCCTCGCACATCAGCAGGCGATCGACTGCTTTCTAATGTTCGCCTATTTATGTATGAAACCGGGAGTCACAAAACCTTCTTCCTCATCTTCTTGTTGCAATATCGTATGAGCCCCTAGATCCGAAAAGGGGGCTTATGTCGTTTTGCGCAGCATTGAGAGAACTTGGGGTTTTTATAGAGTGACTTGCTGGGGTATAGCAGTGTCATGGTATAGATAACTCAAGATGCTCAAAAAAGACAATAAGCCCCCTTTTTTATGTAGAGGCTCAGATAGGACTTGAATTGATGGAGCATTGCTCTGCCACACTGTTGTATGTCCAGCTTGGCAAGCGACCCATCGACCTCTGCCATACCAGATCGCCTGTTCGCAGACTGCTGGCCAACCACATGAACAATGCCGGAAAGACGCAAGGCGGCGCTAGGCCTGCACCAGGGCGTGCTGGACCCCCATACACCCACGCCGGAACAGCCGAATCGCCTGTCTGACCTCGCCTTATGTAATCGCTCCTTGTCAGGAGAAAACAATGCACGGATGAGACAGTTGGGCAGCACAGTGAGCGACTTTTGCTGTGTAGAATTGCCACAAGTAAATCAATGGCATCAACAAGTGTTTGTGACTGCCCAGGATCTCAAAAATAATTTTATCATTCATTGCATCTAGCTTTATGTTGAGGTCTACCGGTATACGGTCGGGCCAGCTATCTGAAGGGTTACGTATCTGATGTTGGTTTTGCCTTGTTGCCCATATGGTTTAAGGGGAAGTTGAGGCAAAATTCAAAATTTCACCAGTTGTAGTCTTCGGGTCGCCTGTTGCCTTGTGACCAGGTGATTTGGGCACCCAGGAGCACGTGACCGCTTGTTCAACCACGTTCGATTGGGAATAAGGGCCGAACGCTGCATCGCAGCCTTTTCGGACCAAAACCAGTCGACTCAGCGTCCAAAAGACTACAACGTATGGGCCAATCGCGGTCATCCGTGCTTTTATAAGAACGAAATGGTGCTTTTAGTGACATTTTGCATACAAATTACCATCTAGTAAGGCGCAGTCACCCAGTTTCGGTGGAAGTGCGCGAGTTCGATTGGGATTCAAGTAGGAAGGGAGCGTCTCAGCTTCCTCGGACCGAGACCATTCGACTCAGCACCCCGAAGACTTCAACTGGTGAAACTTTGATTTTTGCCTTAACTTCCCCTTTAACGAGGAGGTCAGCCGGAATACGAACACGATGCTGAGGGCTTTTACTACTTTTGATTCCTTTGCATAAAAAGGACTCATTTTTAAAAAATTCTTAAAATAATTATAATATAATTATTCTTTTATGCTTGAAGATGCGTAAATTATGATAAGAGTACCCAGCAGCATTCGGCCGTGTACAGATAATTTTTTTATCTTCCACCAAACCACAACTGCGCTCTCCGGCCGACCTCGACCCGTTGCCACAGCACACCAAGAGCAAAGCGATACTTCTTTTAGTACTCAGTTCCTTCATACAGCTGTTTCGATTCAAGACAAGATCACGTCAATGAAAGTTGATATTGCTGAATGGCTACGTCGGCCGGAGAGCACAGTTCTGGTGTGGTCGATGTAATTTTTTTTTAAATGAAAATTATGATTCTTTATCCTCATAGAATGAATTTAAATGATGTCTATTGATTGGTACATTTGGAGATGTGTTCCAGCTACTGTAAGTCAACAAATACCCGGCGTGATACTGCTGTCAAACAGAAAACACCAAAAGCACTCGGTGCTTTCATTCCTTGACGGAAAGAACCGATTGCATTGTTGTCGTCAAATTAGCTACAACTTAGAACTGTGCAGGGTAAAAACCAACAGTTACTAGACAATGCCTTGACTCACTGTGCTCCACAGCTTCAGTTTCGCCAGGCAGTAAGCAAACATGGTGACGTGGGGAAGACAAATGAGAAGAGGGGGCAGAAAATCTCTCAAGGATAGATGTCAAGATGCTGATCTGCATGGAGAGAGTGAGAGGGACTGCTCTACCACAACGTGATCTAAAATGAATGAAAGTGCCACTAGCTCATCTCACCAACGCCACTATCAAGATCGAAATTTGAAACAAAATAATACAAACGAGGAAAACATGAAAAGGATAGATAACGAAGACGACCAAAATTCTGGCAAAACAAAAATACTTTAGGAGGGCTGTTGAAATTTGATAACAGCACCGCTCCACGATCATCAAGATAAGTGCCTGCTATATTCAGTTCGACCTAAAGGGTTTGTAGCTAACAAGAAAAAGAACTGTTTTTTAGTCCATGGCTGTAAGTCCTGTGGTATATGTGATGGGAGCGGACGCACACACACACACACACACACACACACACACGCACACACACACAAACACCCCCCCCCCCCACACACACACACACACTCCTAGGCAAAACGACCGCGGGGATTGGGCAACGAGCGCGGCGGAGGCCACTGGCGTCGGGAAGAGCTCGGCGAATCCGTGTCAAACGAGTCCTGGTCGAATTCCGGCGGTGGTGGAGGTAATCCTGGCATGAAGTCCCCCGCCGGCAGTGACCCGGGCAGGGACGGTAGCTGTGTGGGCGGACGTTGGCGTGGTAATGCCGGAGCGGATACTGGCGTAGGCGGGGAAGGAAAGGCACGAGAGGATGGCGATTGGCCATGCCCGTGCACAGCACCACCGTGCATACCACCACCTCCACCACCATGCATAGCACCACCATGCATAGCACCACCATGCATAGCACCACCATGCATACCACTACCACCACCACCACCACTACTGCTGGGCAGGCGTGCCGCCGAACTGATTCCGCCGCTCGAAGGAAGTCTGCCGCCGCCACCGCTGCTTGACGCCGTGTTATGATTGCGAGTGACGGGCGGTGGTGTGGGCTTGCTGGGCGCGTGGTCAATGGGCGGTAGATGTCGTGTAAACTGAGGGGAATCCCCTCCCGAGGTCGAGCCGGGCGACTCCCATGAGTTGGCTTGGCGGACCGGCGGCCGGGGACTATTGGGAACGTGAGGGTGGTGGTGTGAGGACGATGACGACAATGACGACGACGAGGGTAGAGAGAAAGGAGGGTTGGAGCCGCTACTGCCGTTGCCGCTATCGCTCGTGTCCTCACTGCGGTGCCGGAAGGGGGGCGTCGACAGGGATGGCTGTACAATGGCGGAATGAGAGTACGGGCCGGACTTGGACGGCGGAGGCAGAGCTGTCGGCATGAAAAGGCAAAGAACGCAGAGAGAAACAAGTAAGTTATTCAGTTGTAAATTGTTATGTCGTCCTCGCCCCCCCCCCCCCCCTCGCCTCTTCTACGCACCGCCTTTCACTGTGCACCGTTCACCTGATAGACGTGATATTAGCAATCTGGTCATTGAACATCTTGATGATGGTGCCCTATGCTATGACAACTACAGTGCTGGCAACTGAAATCCGACCCCTTTAGCATCTCGTACGAATCGCTAACGCGCCTAGAGCACCGCTAGGGGGGGGGGGGGGGTCGGATTTCAGTTGCCAGCAATGTACATTCATCCTGCCACTCCCCATCCAGGTATAAATGTGTGCATGTGTATGTGTGCGTGTTCGTTTGTGCGCGCACGTGTGTGTGTGTTTATGTGTGTGCACGCATTTCCGTGCGTTCGTGAGTGCATGTGTGTGTGTGTGTGTGTGTGTGTGTGTGTGTGTGTGTGTGTGTGTGTGTCCCAGCACAAGTGCATGGCTTCTGCCGTAGCATTGCTATCATCGCCTCCGGCGATGGGCGTCAAAAGGTCAAAGGTGTGTGTGTGTGTGTGTGTGTGTGTGTGTGGACAAGTGACAAGATCTTCACATATCGTGTCGTAACTCACGTGGAAACGACGGCGGCAGCGTCCCAACGTCCGTTCTCGGTGGCGGCATGGGCTGCGATGGCTCCAGGGGCAGAGTACGCGAGTCACTGGGTCCCGAGCGTCGCGGCTGCTTCCTGTCAATCTGCGGCAGGCGGGTGCTCTTCTTCCTCTGCGGTGGAAGGCGTTGCTTTCCGCCGTTGATGTCGGCTTTCAGGTCCGACGGCAGTTCCGGACGCCGGCCCGGTGGAGGGGCCTGCGCGCGCCCGCTGTTGGGGCTGGACGGGGGCAGCCGTGTGGGCATGGGTGGCTTGACGTCGCAGGCGTGCCGCACCAGATAGCTGCACTTGCTGGAGGGCATGCGCTCCACCTGCGCCGCGCCCAGCATGCACTCAAGCATAGCCTGCACCTGCGACAGGACGCGGTTGACGTTCTCCTGTGTGGTGCGCAGGAACACCTCGTCGTGCGGCGCCGCGCAGGACGAGCACAGCAGGAAGTAGATGGTGATGTGATCGCGCTCGGCGCCAAACTCCCTCAGGTGCAGCAGGTTGTGCGCCTTCCCGGTGGCGTCGTGCGAGCTCACCAGCGGGTCGATGATCAGCATGTGACACGTGGCCACGTTGACGTCCAGCAGTACGTCTTGGTCGTGGTTACTGTCGTCAAGACGACGCTGACAGCTGAACCAGTTCCCTGGGCGGGTAGTAACAAAGCATACACGCGCGTGTGTTATTCATGAAGGGCAATGAAAACAAATCTGAGAATATCGCCCGTCTGGAGCACACGGATATGGATGAGAAGTACTCAAGGTTTACATGATTGAAATAGCAGTGAAATAAAAACAAAATTATCGTGTCCGTTCCCGAAGGGAACTCACGACGGCCGCTAACACCCGGTAAACCCTTGCGGCAGATGCAGCGCCTAACGGCGGGGTGAGTGGATAAGTCTCACAACCACTGGCACAAGTGATGAGAAACCCCATTAGCAGTTAACCACCCCGTGAAATCGAAGTCGCAGGCAGCACACACGCCTGTGAACGAACAGAAAAGGCACAAACCGACGCACCGACACTTGCATGTGCTCACTGCCCAAATATGGGCAGGTGCATCTGCTCGTAAGAGGGGAGAGACGTTTTACAGGAATCTTGGAAAGATGACTCAATTGGCTATTGAACTTCCCAGTGACTGGCACACCTGAAATCAGCATACTCTGAGTGGACTCTGAGTGGACTTAGTAGTGATTCCCCCCCCCCCCTTCCCCCTATGCATTCACAACATCATGCTTTAATCCTTTAGTGGCGATGGGTCGATTCACACCTGTGCTGGCAGTGAACACTAAAATATGTATTACAGAGCCAGCCTGGTACATATTAGGCGCCAGGTTTCGTTGACAGAGACACCTCAGTGGCCGACCTATCGATACCAATAGAGAAGGTAGCGGGGTTGCATTTTGAATATTCAGACACAATGGTGCACGTCATGGCGTGCAGTACAAGCTCAGGCGGGAACCAAAGGGTTAAGTGGCTGCGAACAAAGGGCAGAAACGCATTCATACCATCAACGTATCTGTGGGGGGGGGGGGGAGGGGAGGGGTGCTAAAAGACCACCCCTCACATACATTGAGTTAGACAGGCAAAGGGTTAATAAGCGGCTGCGAACAAAGGGAAGAAACGCATTCATACCATCAAAGTATCTGTGATTAACTGCAAATACCCATGACCAAAGTGAAGGTAATACTTGCTACAAGTGCTACAAA